TTATACATGAGGAGAAGAAGGTGTGGACAGATAAGACTGACCAGGAGTGAGAGGAGCTGAGATAGTGTCAGCAATATCAGCATTGTTTAGGCTTGGAGATACTGTAGGTAAGAAAGCATCACTAGGAGAAACAACTGACTAAGTAGGTTGTTCTACAAACTCTAGGATAGGAAATAAGGGAGATACACCAGAGGATATATGCTTGAATGGGAACACTTCTTCCTTGAATACAATGTCCCTGCTGACAAAGAATCTTTTGGAGCACAAGTCATAGAGGGCATAGCCCTTCTGAGATGATGAATATCCCATGTGAACAACTGGATTGCTCTGGGATAGAATTTATCCCTTTTTTTCATCTGGGTGGTATAACAAAGGTTTCCAAATACCCTCAGATGTTGCAGAGATGGACTCATTTGGAAGAGCTTTTCAAAGGGAGATTTGCCTTGTAGTAGAACAGTAGGCAAGTTATTTAGAAGATATACTGCAATAAAGACACACTCTCCCCAGAATCTTCGAGGCAAAAAAGCTTGAAATTTGTGTGGTCGAGCCATGTCTAGAATATACATATGTTTTCTCTCAAAACCCCATTCTATTGAGGGGTATATGTACAAGAGCTCTTATGTACTATACTTTGATTATTCAATAAGGTGTACCGTTGATCATTAAAGATCTCTGTTCCATTGTCTGTTCTTAAGCATTTGAGTCTACTGTCAAACTGTGTGGATATCATTGCTACAAAGTTTTTCAACACTTCAATAGTATCTAATATAGAATGCAGTAGAAATAGATATGTATATCTGGAATAGTCATCTACCAAAGTTAAAAAATATCTCTTTCTATCATGAGTAGGCACTTTATAAGGTTACCAAACATCACCATGCAGAATGTCACAAATATAGATTTAGAATAACAATAGCTAATAAGGAAAGGCAGTCTTGATTGTTTGGCTATGGGACACATAGTACAATGATGTTACCTTAACTGCATGCTATGCAAAGCATTTACATCCCTCAAAACCTTTAAAGGATCATGACATAACCTTTGATACCACAAGGAGGATATAGCACAAGACTTATTATCTGCTAAGTTACTACATTTATTGATGTCACTTGATATGGTATTTACAGTTGAAGTAGAATGAGTCATTGGTTGAGGAGGAACTTGTTGACTGAATAATTTTTTGTCATCTTCCTTGAGGATGTACAGACCCATCTCTTCCTTACCAATCGCCAATACCTTACCACGTGAGAGTTCCTGAAAGACACATAAGTCAGGATAAAATACTTCCAGACATCTCAATTCCTTTGTGAGTTTAGACATTGAGAGGAGATTATATTTGAACTCTGGAATGTGAAGAATGTTCTGGACTTTCTTATCCTTGAAAAAAAGTTTAAATACTAGTATGAGTGATAGAGACATGTTCTCCAGTTGGTAAATAAACTTTAGTCCTAGCATTCTCTGGTATTTCATCATACTTCTCTAGCAAGTTCAAACTATGAACCATATTGTTTGTAGCACCAGTGTCTATTAAGCAGTTAATATGCACAAAGCTAATCATAAATGCATGCACAATACATGTTGGCCTTGCAGTGAAAACATAGGTTGTGTTCAACTTCCTTGTCCTTGTTCAGCATATAGAATCTGCTGATACTGCTCCTGAGTAATGAAGTGAACTAGAGTAGTTGACATCTGATGTCCATGTCCTTGTGACTCTGAAGATTGAATACCAGAACTGGTCACACTATTATATTGAGCATGTGGAGCTCCTCATTTCCGCTTGTTCTTAAATTTAGAAGGGTAACCATGAAGCTTGAAACATTTTTCTCTAGTATGACCCTTATATTTGCAGTAATCACACCACACTGTAGTTGTACTAAAGGAGCTTCTAGGTTTGTAACCTCAATTAGAGCTAGTATTAGGTTGTCTTCTACTATTGTAACCTCCAGTATACACTTATTGCTCATCATGGTTGCTTCATTACTTTCAGCATATACACATTTTTTTACCAATTCTATGACTTTCCACATTGACTATCACAGCATATATAAGCCTGGTTCAGATCAGGCAAGGGTCGAGTCATGAGAACATAATTCTTTGTATTCTTATAAGATTTATTTAGACTTGTGCGGAACTCATTTAACTTCTGTATGTGATATTGTTCTACATGTTTCCTTGATTCAGCACAACCACAAGTAGGTGGTAGAGTTAATGTTTCATACTCATCCCAAAGTTTTCTCAGTTTAGTATAGTATACCGAGACAGAGTATATGCCTTGAGGTAATGTGGCAATTTTCTTGTGCAAATAACAGGTCCTAGATGCATTATCTTTATCAAATCTCTCTTTAAGATCCTCCCTCATTGTGTATGCATCTGAGGCATGGATCACCGAACTGATTAAGCTTGGTGAGACTGCGTTCATTATCAAGCACAATAGCATTGCATCTATCCCACAATTAATGTAAACTAGGATCATATTTGTTTGTTCAACAAGTGCCTAGGATAAAGCCTAATTTGCTGTTACCATGCAACACTATTTTCATAGATGTACTCTAAATAGAATAATTTTTTGAACCTTGAAGTTGAATAGAAATTAGCACAAAACCTTGAGTATCAGAAGGATGAATGTAGAGAGGGTGATTGTGGTCGACCAGCTTTGTAGTCGGCGTAGACATAGAAGAAAAGAATGGAGAATCAACATCCTCTTCATTGATCGCCATTATCACAATAGAAAAATTGCTTCAGAAAAAAAAAATTCACAAATTTGTCAATCTCACACAAAATTTGACACGATCTGACCGTTATTCAACCAGAAAATTGAAATTCCCAAACCCTAGGTTGAGCGAGAAGTCTTATGTGTTAAAAAATAGCTCGATCGATCGATGCGAATGAGAAACTCCGATGCAATTGAATTACTCAAGTTCCATCATAGCCGAGCTTCAGGAAATCGAGCACCGAACTCTGATACCATATTGAGAAGCTTCAGCTATGGCAGAACTACATGTTCTAGAAGGTGCGAGAATATGAGAGGAAAGCTTAATAGAAGCTAATTCTGTTATTAGCATTCGAGGAAGAAAAATGAACAATAGTATAAAATGCTAGTAAACTACTCTATATATACTTGTACAACTAACTAAGTTTAATTAGGTAGTTATAACTAATTGCTCTTGACTAATAAATAGCCGGGACCAACTATACTCAATAATTTTCGATATATATATAAGGGACGACGTATTATTATAGAAGTGTTCATAATTTAGTAAAATTGAAATTTAGAAAATATTTTCCTATGTATCAAACACCCTAATGTCTTTTAAAAGGGTGTGCGAAAACTATATATTATAATAATTAATGACAATAATTGGGTCTCCATCTTATGTCACAACTTACACCTTGTAACTTGTCAAATGTTTTAACACTTTTTCTTTTCTTGTTGTAGGGTTTTGTCATCATTCCAACTTCCAAAATTCAATACAAGAAAAGATACGCTCCATACCATATTGGTGATGGCATCTGTTTCATAGTTTCACGTATCTCGTAATTGTTTGGACTGTTGTGATTTTGTGCTTTAATTCAGTGGAACAACTTTAGTCTTTACTAATTGTCTACGTTGTAAATCATTCAACTAATCACTTGGTAATCACTAGAAAGTTCCTGAAAATTATGTGCTCTCCACTGCTGTACGTTTAGGTAAGAAATGAATTGTGAGTTCTTAATTAGTAACTTGGAAATTTAATTTGTAGTAATAACAATTATGCGACTGAACTTTTGCTTTTCGATAAATAAAACAGGCCTATATATTTGCATGGGATAGCACTTCTATAGTAGAGCACTGACTCGTGCTACTTTTTCTAACATTATTATCATGTCTTAATCCTTATAACCGTTATTTCCCCTTTTATGAGGGGCAAGTTATATGTGAATAGGGCAGAGGCGGATTGAAGACATAAATTTAATAGATCCTCTAAATTTTTTTGTATTGAATTTATTATATTTTTTAAAATTATGTGTTCATATTTACTATTTGTTACAATTTTAATAAATTTTTATACACAAATTATGCTCCACGACTAAAATATTTATTGAATTCAAATGAACCTGGTACCATAATGCCTGATATTCCCCTGGATAGGAAGGTAGAAAATTACATTATGTATATATGGTCAAATTTGTTTATACGTAGATATTAAATGATGAATTTCTTTAATTTTTCTTTGCATTTTATATTTTATTTTTTGAATCCAAAAATCCTGCTTCCGTTTCCGGGACCTATATACCTACCTTCAATAACTATCAAACTTCATGTATTCAATGCCTATCTATCAAGCTAGCAAACTTAAAACAGTGATACATTCCGAACTATAATCAGATAATTGAAGTGAAAAATAAACAAATAGTAATAGATTGGTTGGCACATGCCCTCTTCGAAAACGAAAGCTTCTAGGTACCTAACCAAACCGTAAGAAGATATAGTAATATTTTCTTAGACTGTAATAAATAATATGAACGTAAAAGCTTCTGTTCATCATTTTAAATTACTTTTCTCGTGAAATTTCAAATTTGTTTAATTAAGCCGCAGTGCAATTTACAAAGAAAAAGACATTTGACTTGAGCTACACTACAAAAAAAAACTCATTTTGTGGGGTTATTTTGTTGATCTGTGACGGTTTTCGACCCCCACAAAATAAATTGTGGCGGTTTCAAAAAATGCCATAGTTACGTTCGCCACAAGCTTTTTTGCGGCAGTTTTGTACAACCTCCACGGCGACCGCCACAAAATAAAATTTTAATTTGTGGCGGTTTATAAAACTAATTAGCGGCAATTTGTAACTTCCATAATATGATTTCAATGTTTTAAAAAAATAATTTGTGGGAATTTATAACCCTCACAACTTGATCTCAATCTAATAAAAAAAATTAATAGTGGCAATTTGTAACTACCACAATATCTATCTGAAAGTTTATATTCGAGGATTCAATATAATAATTTTACTAAATAACTCTCACAACAGAAATCAAATTCCATTAAAAATATCAATACTAACAAACATCACAATTTCAAATTCATATCAAACAAAAATTATACAAATAAATGTATGATAACTTAAACATTATACAATAAAGAGTAGATCCTCATCCTCAATAAATAAATATACAAAGTGCAATGTACTTGCTTGGTGATTTGCATTGTTATCGCTTGATGCTACTCTTACATCCATGAGGGGAAGTAGATCCGCTCTCCACATCACTAAGCTGAAATAATGAAACAAAAATATTTGATGAAAAACTTATAATTGACTAGCATTTTGACAAACCAAAAGCACAAATCCAGTTACATAAATAGATGAAAGCTCTAATTTTTTTAACAAATTGATCTGTCACTTGGTCTAATCAAGGCATTGAACAGAAGTTGCTGGATATTATCACATGAATAGGAGCTAAAGTACAAAGTTAATTCCTCGTATATCATCACAAATCTTACCTCAACGACCTACTCTACTTGGCAACATAAATTCTGGCCATATTCATGAAATAAAAAAATCACCTACGTAACTATTAAAGTATAAGTCAACCTCTATAGTTTTTCTAACATTAGAATTCAACAAATAGAGTAAAAGTTATAATCCAATCCAATAATTAACGGAAGATGAAAAGTTGAACACTAACAGCACCGAAAAACTCAAGTAGAAGAAATGAGCGGATAAAATAGGAGCCATAAACTAATAATTAGTTAAACAAACCAAGCCAGCGTCAAAATCTTTTGGAGCTAACTTCAAACAAAAGAAGCAACAAAAAAGTGCCAAAACTTGAACAAAAAAAATAGAATTTATATATTACCAACTTACTTCAACGTCTAATTTGTTAAGGGACTTAATTAAATTTCGCAGACATGAATTCCATTAGTATCTGTATCAGTACCGCTGCAAGAGAATACGAAACAGATTACTCTTAATAACATACAGTACCAAGGGAAAAGAAGTGAAAGGATTGAAAATGTAGGAGATAACTTAGTGACATCTCAACAATCGAATTGTGAAATTTTTGTTTGATTAGTTTCTTTTAGTAATTTTCTTTTCATCAGTTAACCATCTCAGTATCCTTCAAAATTATAAGAAAGCAATATCATTAAGCTAATTAAATAATTAGAACATGCCCTTCATATAACCAACTATCACCATAAGAGTGTCAGGGACCTTTGTTATTTCTGAAAATTATTGTATATTTCAGTAATCAGTAGTCTTAGGGATAAGAAAACTCCAAATGCAATCAATTTAATAGAAAACCACCACTTATATATGTGTTGTGAGTTTAGATTAGTACATCAAGTTTATATCCACCCGTAGCCACGTATGTAGAAAGATGTCAATGAGCCAACTGTGTTACTTGTTCCCGAGGCTACCATTTTTTGTTTCACTTAAAGTAGTGTTCAATGCTGCAAATGTTCTTTCAATTATTCTTGCTTCCTATAAGTCGTGAAGTTTGTTATACAAAAGATAAGCTTTCTCTGAAACGAACACCTGGCCAAGAAATGAGTTAACAAGCATAACTTACCCCTCAGTGCTATCATACCAATACAACAATCCTGAAACCTTTGCCCACATATTCACCAGTGAAAGAAATTTTTTTCACCATGCTTGTTTGCACCCAAATAGGTCATGCATGAAAAGGGAAACAGGAAGGAGTATAACAGAGATAGTTCTGACTAGTCATTGAAATTTTCTTTATAATGATAAGAAATGTCTAGATGCTTCAGATAAGTCTTAACTCAAAGTCGGAACTACTAGATTTTCACTGATAATCATGGTTAAACAAACATGTTGGAATTACTTAGATGCTTTATTCATTTGATCAAAAGTACTCATGAATAACAAGAAATCCATACACATTTGTAGAAGCAAACACAAGGAGTGCCTTACCTTCACGAACTAGCTCAAATCTTGGATGATCAATCCGTTGCTTTAGATTATCCTTTGTTCCATTGGAGTAATTTTCTACAACAATCACCTGAGAATATGCAAAAGTTAATGTAATTGTACTCATGCTTCTAATCATTTTTTATATACAAGGATGCAATAGTTGCAAATATACAAATGAAAACCAAACTTAGAAGATTGTACCTCATTCTTCTCATTTTACATTAGTTTGTCAAAAAAGGCGAGAGCCGATAGTATAGACCATCTACCAAATTCCTCATGTTGGTCTGTGATTATGATAGTTCGTGAATAGTAAACAATGCTAACTAATATCAGAAAATCACACTAGTATCTCGTAAAGCAGCCTTGATTAAACATTAACTAGAGTACTACATTATGAAGAGGCTCGAAATCAAAATTCTACTTAATTGTAACAAGAAGGAAAACAAAAAATCAATTCGTAGACCATTAGACCATCAATCCCCAAGCTGGACCAACTTACAAACAATTCAAAAATCAAACCCAAAACTTAGTAGTGATCAAAGTCGTTGGACAAAGAAAGAGTGCATTGCGTCGTTCCCCGTACTTCAAAATTCTAAATACATAATCCATCCAATAGCCAAAATAGGGAAAACTTCAATCAACCGCAAAAGACTAAAGATCTCCCAAATACCACCTAATACAAATATACAGTCTCTCACTAGAGAGCCTTCATTTAAACGCGCACAGGATTCCCCCACAACAATTCTTAAAAGGGTAAAATTTACAATTAGACCTCGAGCGAAGGAACCAACACAAAATTGAACCAAAATATAACACAATACTAGTAATAATACATAAATCCGCAAGCATATCTTAAACAATTTCGAGTACGAACTCTATAACGAATAGTAAACAAAGGAGATATAGAGCAACTGGAAATAAAAAGAGTATGACGAAGTATGAACCTTTGTTGTTCTGATTGCGCCGACTTTCTCTCGGTAGAGAAGGTGATGAAGAGAGGAAATTTGGGCCTGAAAGATTTTGTGAGTTGGGGAGAGGGAATTGAATCCTGAAAAAAGGGGAGGGTGGGAGGGTGGGGGAAGGGAGGGAATTTTGCCTGCGAGATTCTGAAAATATTCAGTCTAATCTCCAAATTACCCCGTAAGGTGCCGATTAAAACCTAAGAAGATAGTGTCCAGTATTGTCTTTTAGCGTCATTCTTTGCTTCTAGTTTTCTCTTTTATTTCCTTTTTATTATTTTAAAAAAATAAACTTTGACAAATAAAATTAACCTACTAATACAACATACTTAAAATCTAATTGATATATACTACTACACAAAAAAAAGCAACGAAAAACAAAAGATCCAAACAAATAATAAATTAAATATAATACAAACTTACTAAAATTTATTAAAATAATTCATTTAAAATTCAAATTTCTAAATATCCTTGATTACATAAAATGTGATAAAATTATAAACGTGCTAATAGTTTTGCCTTAATTCACAACTCCTAATATTATGAAAATAAAAGATACTCATGGGCAGATGTCACGACCCCGAATTCCCACCGTCGGGACCGTTGTGACGCCTAACATTTTACTTGCTAGGTAAGCCAACGTTAGAGAATCATCTAAACCAATTCTTATTTCATTCAGTAAATAACAGCAATTAGCTAAGATGAATTATAGTGAATGCGGAATACTATAATGAAACTGCATTAATTACTACCACCCGAATCTGGAGTCACAATTCACGAGCATTCTAGAATTCACTACAAGAAATAGTCTGAAAAAAATATAATTATTTGGATGAAAGAAACAGTAAAACATAAAAGATAGACGGGGACTTCAAGGTCTGTGAACGCGGACAAATCTACCTTGAGTCTCCGAATAGCGGGTCCAATAGCTAAAATCCCGATCAACCCGAGCCGGTACCAAAATCTACACAGAAAGTGCAGAGTGCAGCATCAGTACAACCGACCCCATATACTGGTAAGTATCGAGCCTAACCTCGGCGAAGTAGTGACGAGGCTAGGACAAGACACCCACATATAACCTGAACAGTATAATCATGCTAATGAAAATAACAATAAATAAAGAAATAAAGCAGAAAATAATGGGGAGGAGACATATAGTGGGGGATTTCAATATAAGGAGTGAGAATAACGAAAAGACAGAATTAAACAGTAATCCGTAAACAAATTAAGCAACTAAAATAGTAAGGAAAAACTGCACGGTATCACCCTTCGTGCTTTTACTCTCAACCTCATCAAATAATAAATAAAACTGCACGGCATCACCCTTCGTGCTTTTACTCTCAACCTCACCAAATAATAATAGAACGGCACGGCATCACCCTTCGTGCATTAAACCTCTCATATTATGCACGGCATCACCCTTCGTTCTTTATCACTCATAAATCGTGGCACAACATCACCCTTCGTGCATTAACACTCACATATCATGGCACGGTATCACCCTTCGTGCTTTACACTCTTCCTCACAATATAAATAATGCATGCACAGCATCACCCTTCGTCCTTTACACTCCTCCTCACAAATTACAAAATCAATAACAACGGATAAACAGAAGTTTTACAAAGAAGCCAGTATTTTACCAATGTGTAATATCATAATGTAAACCTCAACCTTGAACCAATATTCAAAAAAATTACCAAATCTCGATGAAACTAGACATAAGTCACCCAATATTTCAAATAACAACGCTAAGCATGGATAGTAGGATTAAAGGCTACAAAATTTACAAAGAATAGGATTTCACTCGCATGCTATGACTCGACAACAATGCATAGATGCTCGTCACCTCATCTATACATCATATTTAACAACCAAACACGTAGCAAATAAACACATATTACATATTCCCTCAAGCCAAAGTTAGACATGACACTTACCTTGCTCCGAAAGCCACTTAATTCTCAATAACAACTTTTTCTCTAGAATTCACCTCCAAACCACTCGTATCTATTCAAAAATAACTCATTAATATCAAATATTGCTAAAGGAATCAATTATATTGCATAAATTAAATATCCCAAAATTTCTTCCAAAAAGTCAAAAATCGACATCGGGCCCGCTTGGTCAAAACCCGAGGTTCGGACTAAAATCCATTTACCCATTCACCCCCGAGCCCGAATATGTAATTGGTTTTGGAATCCGGCCTCAAATTGAGGTCTAAATCCCCAAATTTTCGAAATCCCTCGTTTCTACCCTAACCCCTAATTCTACCATGAAAACTCTAGATTTTAGGTTAATAATTCAAGAAATGTAATGGGTAATTGAAAGAAAATGGTTTAGAATCACTTACCAACACTTTGGGGAAGAAATGACTCTTGAAAAATCGCCTCACACCGTTTGGTTTTTGAGAAAAATAAATTTTTGGCTAAATCTCGTGTTTGGATTATGTTAAGTGCTGGGCGACAATGTTCATCGCGTTCGCGAGAGCACTGTCGCATTCGCGAAGAGTATAGGCTGCCAAGCCTTCGCATTCGCAAGACAGTTCTCGCGTTCGCATAGGCTACCCTTCCCTAGCCTTCGCGTTCGCAAGACAGTGTTCGCGTTCGCGATGAAGAAAAGGCTGGCTCCCCCTCCCAGTGCCTAACACTACGCGTTCGCGACGGGATTGTCGTGTTCGCGAATGGTAACGCCCACATCACTTCGCGTTCGCGACCAAGCCTTCGCGTTCGTGAAGAAGAAATCCCGGCCTCATCAGTTTACTCTTTGTGTTCGCAAGAGGACCTTCGCGAACGCGAAGAAGGACATGCCAGAACCCAGGCTCTGCAGAAAAACCCAAATTTTCAAAGTCCAAAACATCCCGTGGCCTATCCGAAACTTATCCGAGCCCTCGGGGTTCCAAACCAAACATGCACGCAAGTCTTAAAACATTATACGAACTTTCTCGCGCGATCAAATCGCCAAAATAACACCTAGAACTCCGAATTTAGCACCAAATCAAATGAAATTCTCAAGAACACTTTAAAATTCCTATCTTCTCAACTAGACGCCTGAATCACGACAAATCAACTTCGTTTCTCACCAAATTTCACAAACAAGTCTTAAATATCATAATGAACCTATACCGGGCTACGGAATCAAAATACGGACCCGACACTAACAATACCAAACATCAATTAATTCTTAACAAAAATTAATTTTCAAACTTTTAATTTTCATCAAAAATTCATAACTCAAGCTATGGACCTCCGAATTCAATTCTGGGCATACACCCAGGTCCCATAATTCGACACGGATCCACCGGGAAAGTCAAAATATGGATCCGGACCCGTTTATCAAAAATATTGACCGAAGTCAACTAAAATCAACTTTTTAAGGCAGAAATTCTTATTTTCATCATTTTTCAACATAAAAGTTTTTCGGAAACATGCCCGGAATGCGCACGTAAATCGAAGAGGGTAAAAATAAAATTTTTAAGGCTTAAGAGCGTAGATTCGAGTTCTAAAACATAAGATGATATTTTGGGTCATCACAGCAGATATTTTGTATTTTTTGTCACGACCCAAATTTCCAACCAAGGGGTCATGATGACACCCAACATCACTTGCTATGCAAACCAATACTTAATAAGACTAAATCCAACAACCATCTAAAATTTTCCCAGAACTAGTGTCACCGAGTACATGAGCTTCTACAAAACTACTAAATACAATATCTTAAATGACAAATACACTGTTTGATACGAATAAACAGTATAAAGTCTAGAAGTTGGATAACATCAAGACTTGCAGACGTGAATGCAGCACTACCTCGAGTCTCCACAACCAAGCAAGCTAGTTCGTCCTTTGAGTACCACTAAGTCCAATGCCAAAGTCTGCACAAGAAGTGCAGGAGTGTAAACCAATTCGTATTTTTACCACTAAGTCCTTTGAGCACCACTTCGTATCTTTACTCTCATCCTCACAAGCACGGAAATACCCCTCGTGTATATCAATCTTCCTCACGAGCACGGAAACTCCCTTCGTGCAATTCACTCTTCCCACCATGCATAAACATGTAAACCAATACCAAAAAAGGTAAAAAGAACAAATAATATCAAGAAGAGTGATTGAACATAACTTGCCATAAGGGAAATAGTCATCACTCATTACCAATAGCCAAATTAACATTTCAATAACCTTACTACCCAATATCACAACAAGATCAACACGACTACCAATATGAATAAGAATAGTCAAAGAGTTTCATAATCTAATTAAAGCATAAAATTCAGTTTTACCTGCATGCTTAACCCATAGCAAACGCATATACACCCCTCACCTTGCGTATGTGCCGCTCCCAACACATATAACACATAGCAATTAGACGCAATTACATTCTAATTTTCTCAAATCAAGGTTAACCAAGACACTTACCTCTTTCCAGTACAAATCAACCCTCAAATACTGCATTTTCTTTAGCACAAACCTCCAAACTACTCGAATATGGCAAATCAATACTCAAATAAGTTAAAATAGGCTTTAGAAACTATCATTGTATCCAAAAAGTCCGTCTTTAACATATTTAGAAAAGTCAACAAAAAGTCAACTCGGATCCACTTGGTTGAAATTCGAATTCACGACTAAATCCTGAATATCCATTCACTCCTAAGTCCAAATATGTAATTTGTTTCGAGATCCGACCTCAATTCGAGGTCTAAATCTCTAAACCCTATTTCTATTCTATGAAATCTTATATTTAGGGATGAAAATCTACTAAAATTAATTAAAATTAATAAGAAACAAGTTAAAGTTACTGGCCCTTGAAGACGGAAAAAGATTTCTCTTTAAAAATCATCTCCCACAAAGTCTAGGTCTCAAAAATGGAATAAAATAAACTAATCCTAAATTCTTTATTTTTACCCAGCTGCATATGCCGCAGTTGCGAACTCTTGTTAGCAATTGCGCAGCTTGCAAAAGCGAAACAGTGTTCGCAGATGTGAAAATGTCCTTGAGCCTTAGGTGTCACGAATGCGACACAGATCTCGCAATTGGGAGGGTCGCAAATGCGACTCCAGCTTTGCAATTATGAAGCTGGCCACCCCATCCCACCTTCACAAATGCGAGGCCCACTATGTAATTACGAACCTCGCATTTGCGAGAAGTTCATCACAATTGCGATAATTGCAGCACCAACAAATTCTAAGTTCTACGAAATCGGTCCGAAATCAATTCGAAACTTACACGGCTCTTCGGAACTCCATCCATACATCCACACAAGTATATAAACCTCATACGAACTCGTTCATAAGCTCAAAACATCCAAATAACATCAAGAACTAAAAATCACACATGAAAACTCAAAGATTTTAAAGTTCTTAGGTTTAAATTTTTAACTTTTTATAATAAGCGCCGAAATTTTTTATATAATATCTCAAATTATGAAATGAAATGTTAGAACTCTAAATGACTTATCGGGTCATTAAATTTTTTTTTTTTTTGCGTATTTATGGATCGGTACATCTATAGGTCGATGCAAGACATACTAAGTCATATGAAGCGACCTTCCATTTTATCCTCAATATATACAACTTGCACCTCTTGGCGAATGTGGTTAAGTTTTAATCTTATATAATCTTGAATAATTGCATATCCATCTTAGCATCCGCATTTGTGCAACACACATCTTGTGAATATATTGGACTTTAGCAATTCAACACTCACGACCATATACCATTGTCGGTATTATAACTATTTTAAAGAATGTTCCTTCTCTTTGATGGACACTATTTTGTCACATAACATCCCGATAGCACTAGTCTGTTCAACCATCTAATTTAACTCTACGAGTAACATTTTCATAGATCATTCCATTCTTTTGAAATAATGAGCATAGATATCTAAATTATTTGTATTTTGGTACTGCTATTCCATCTAGTCTCACCTCAACCTTGCTCATCTCGGCTGGCTAAAAGCAGAGCATGTATTCAATAGCACTTCTACTTATCCTAAAATTCTTATGCCCTAATGTGCTTCTCCATAATTTATGCTTTTGGTTGACCCCATAAATGTGGGGGTAATTAACGGCCACAAAGTGTATCGAATTGTGATATTTTATAAACTTCCACAATTTGATGCAATTTGCAGATGTTATAAAAAACCTCCACAAATAAACCACCACAAAAAGAATTATATAGCAGGGGTTAAAAGAAACGCCACAAAATGATCTTATTATGGGAGTTCTTATTATCCCCATAAATAAATCTCCACAATTAACCGTTTTTCTTGTAGTGCTACTAGTGATTAATTTGGCAAGCCTTGTATATCTATTCATGGGTGGCTCGACTATAAGGCCAGTAAAGCAATTGTTTGGGGCCCCAATTTTTTGAGAATCCCATTTTTTTCTTAAAGATGTATCGTATATGTATTATTAAAAAAATGTGTATACATTTAAATTTAAAAAGAATTTTAGGAGCGAACGTACAATGACTTTAATGTGAGGATTGTTGTAATAATTAGAGAATGGAATAATCTTTAATGAATTGTTTCCTTACACGGGTAGGGTAGCTTTTTTTTTTTTTTGCCTCATATATATCCTAACAACTAATACATGCCCACATTATTATTTATATATTTACCTTTTTCATTCTCTCTTTTACTATTCTTATTCTCAATATTGAAAAGTCTCTCAATCGGCAACTTACCGTGGCTTACAAGTTGTCTTATTCAAAGCATTACAACAAGCAATCATTATATTGAAGCAATGCAACACTTTTCGATATCATTATATTAACTTATCTTGCTCAATAGTTTCTTACCCTTTGATTTCTGCTATTATCTATTATTTCTTGTATTTCGATTATCTTATTTATCTGTGACAGCTACTGCTCCTTTTTAGACTACTTTATTATGACTTATTCACTTTTGTTACTTTCATTTACATACTGCATTGAATTGATTGTCCTTATCTGACCTTTTTTTTGCCATGCTTTCTCTTGAGCCGATGGTCTTTCGGAAACAATATCTCTACCTCCCAAGGTAGAGGTAAGGTCTGCATACACTCTACCTCCCCAGACTCCACTTTGTGGGTTTTCACTCGATATGTTGTTGTTGTATCAACTTATTAAATTCTTGAGCCGGTTTTATTATTTTACTTTTATTTTATATTTTATCATTACAAATTTATCGTTGATATTCTTACTTAGGGCCTCTCTCTGAAATTTGGCTTTAGGCCCAATCTTGTTGCCCTGTATGTATTTTGCACATGATATTTAGCAGTCCGCCGAATCTATTGGTCATGTATATAAGTGTTGGATCATTAGTTTCTCAAAGCACTACAAAAAAACTTCTTAATTTGTAATTAACCTCATCAACCTAATTAAGATGGTCCTTTAGCCACTACTAAGGAGTGTAGTTAAATCATTAGTAAATTTAACTATTTGAATTAGCCGAGTAATAACATAAATATAAATATTAATTGAAAAATGATCCCTAGTCCGACCAAAGAAGTCTGACGTGTCTAAAGATCCTTTAAGGAGATGCTGAGTCAGCCAGCTTCATATGAAGAAATCTTATAATCATGCAAGTAATATTGAACAATCAGACCTCTCTAACAGTCTCGTTTGTTCCGAAATTTTTTGATTGCTACAGTGAAGTGCTGTTATAGAGGGCATATATTATAATATAATATTATATTCGGTTTTGAAAATAACTCGACTTTTATAATGAATGAATATTATACATAGATATTATTATAAAGAAGTTTGACCATAATTAATTTTAATTTGTTTTTAGTTCCAAAATTGGACAACCTGAATAAGAAGATCCTCTATCGAAAAGCCAAAACCTGGAGCCAACTCCTTGTTTTCTTCCTCTCCCAATACTGTTCCTAGCCCACAACATTCATGTACAATCTAAACATCACAATCACCAACTACAGGCTGCAGATTCAATTGAAATTATCGCTTTTTGTTCGTATACTCTTTTGTTTTAATTTATATAGCATAATTTGCTTAAATTATTTAAAATTTTATGATTTCAAATATATTATTCTTTCCGTTTAACTATGTGATAGTGTTTCACCAAAAAAGAAGTTTAAGAATAAACGAGACTTTTGAAACTTGTGATATAAAATAAGTCATAAATTTTTCTATAAATTATTATATTAAAAACTTTAAAATTTAAAGTTTAATTCTTATAAAATATGAAAAAAAATATTATTCTATTTTGCACTCACTAAAAATAAAATAAAAATATTACATAAATTGAAACAACATACTATATATTTGTGTGATTCTAAATCTGTAAAACTTGTTATCTTAAACCATAATATTTGAATGATTATAAAATTTTATTGCTAAAAAAATATAATATTTAAATTTAATAAACACATCATTCTTTACTAACTGGATTAATAAAAAGATCGTATCAAAATGAATGGAGTATATATATAAAATTAATATATATAAATTTTAAAAAAATTCTACTAAAAATAACTAATTAAAGATTGTATGGTTAGTACTTTTTCATCCCTAATTTGAGTTTGAATCCTGAAAATAATGTCAACTTTAATCCAAAATGCAATTTTCCAATAAGAATTCGAATTCGTCGAGTTTCAAAACATATAATATGATACTAAGTAGAGAAAAAAGAAGGGCAAATATCAGTTTTAGTCTTCGGCGAAAACTATTTATATCCGATAATTATAAATATATATATATATATATATATAAATTGTAGAAAAAATATTATATTTTTTCGATACTATTTTAGGAACGGCTATGTATCATTTTTCTCAAAAAATAAACTAAAAATGAAACTTGTGGACCCCATGCTTACCTCTCTTATTCCAAAAACCCAAATCACCGCCATCCATCCTTATCCTCTTCATCACTCCTACTCTCTCTTCTTTCTACTCCTACCTCCAAATTTCAAACTTCTTCTACTACATACTACATCAAAAGCCACTGTTTATTTTTTCTGCACACGGCTCTTGTTTATTTATCTTTCTTTGTTTTGTTCACTGTTGGATAAGGAGAATGAAGTTTTCTATAGTACAAACCAGAAGACTATTACTACAAGCAAATACAGATACTACTACTGCTTTACATTCAACAATGAGCTCCTCCGACCCTACTTTCCAACCCATGAACGACTCTGTAGCTTCAGCAATGAACCGTCCCTTTAAGCTCACCGCCCCTTTTGACTCATCTGTGGCGTTAACCATTCTCGTCTTACTCACTGCTCTTTTTTTCATGGGTTTTTTCTCTATCTACATCCGCCACTTCACCGCCGACGTAACATCCGAAGACCGCCGCCGGAGAAACCCATCTACGCCGTCTACCTCCGGTCACAGTTCTTGCCGGAAAGGGGTGGACCCTGCGGTAGTAAAATCGTTGCCGTTGGTTTCTTATCATGGACCCGCGGAGCACCTGATCGAGGACTGTCCAATTTGTTTAACTGAGTTCGAAGCGAGTGAACTCGTTAAGCTCCTTCCGTACTGTCGGCACGTGTTTCATCAGCAATGTCTTGACACGTGGCTCGCCACGCACGTGTCTTGTCCGCTCTGTAGGTCTACTCAGTTTTTTAAGAAGGCGGATGAGGTTTGTTTAGATGTGAATGAGGTAGAAAATGGGAACGGTGTGAGTGGCTGATCGACGGTTCAAGAGTGTGACACGTGTAGGAATATTAGGAGATCGTGTAACTATTCGAACTTAGGAAATAGAGTGGCATTGCACAGAAGTGCAAGTTTCTGAAAAAGAATTTGTGAAATTTGTAAAGATATTGTAAGTATACTTTGTGTACAGCACTCAAATTGACAGATTATTGTGATTTATTTTAGTACTAGTTACGGATAGTCCGTGCACGGCCCAATAACTCTATGCTAAATTTTGGGTTGTAATTTTATTTTTCTTCTCTTTTTTTCTTCTTATTTATAAAAAAAAAAGAGATTTTTATGTTGTGCAACTACTGTAATTGAGTAATTACAGTTTGCAACACAACTTTTGCCTAACTATCAATTATTTATTTCTGATTTCATGAAAAAAAATCTCTGTAATTATCTCAAGCTAAATATTAATCTCATTGAATAAGCAAGCTGATTGGTTTATGTGATTTAGACTTTAGATTTCAACAAAGCAGTGTATACAAATTTGAAACTTTTTTACACGATAGTCTTTAAAAAGTACTTAGAGTAACATAATATATGATTCTCCTTCAGAATAATTTCTGCTTCCGTCGAGAAATAACAAGTTTGAATAAATTATATTTGATCAAAATTAATTTTCTACAAAGATTAAATTTTTAGTAAGCATTTAAATCAAGTCCAATTCATAAATTTGGCTGCCCAACAGACATTACAAAGTGGGTTCGTTGCAACTGTTACTTTAACAATAAATTAATCCAAATAATTGACCGCCTAACTGCTTAAATTAAAAATAGTCAGTGAAAGTATAATATATATATATATATAATTTATATATTATATGTATATAATTATGTATAATTAATATATAAATTATGTATACGGTTAGAAAAAGTAAACAATAAAAGTGAACGTACATGTAATTATTCGTGTAAAAATTTCTTTACGCAAGTATAAAAGTGGGTGTACGTGTAACTATAATTTTTTCCTAAAACTATCACTTTTATGTCCTTTTTGGATGTTCAAATAAATCCCCAAAGTATATTAAATTCAATTTACTAAACTGTACATGCCTTGGTAATGTTGTAAGTGGCAAAATCAGGGACAAAGGGATTCACTATTTGTAGCATTCTATGAATTTTCAGAAAAAGCTCCATTGTAACCTAATTTATGTAAACACATGAGGTAATTCAAGGTAATAAATTAAGATATTATTGTTGTCTTAAGCAAGTGAAAATCACTAAAATTCAGTAAAGATTATTTGTAATCTTGCGAGTTCATGAATATTATTTGTAATCCCATATATAAAGATTTTGTTAGTAGTGATATATAAATTATCCTTTATTATTTACAACTAATAATGGTCATATATTTAGCCCCACATGAGTATCCTGCTAAGATGTGTACTAATTTAAAATATTTTGAAGTGACCAATTATCTAACCCAGCACCTCCTTGCATTTCTAAGTGTGCATAAGTACATCTTCTGTTTGCTATGAGATCTATTTGGTAGCAGCTATCAAATATACACGTGGCAATCAAAGAGTAAGCTAAGAAGGAGAAAAAACAAAGCAATTACATGAACGTTTGAAGCCGAAAAGACGCGTGTCCTAACCAAAACCCCAATTTCCTAAACTGCCCCTACGACCCCAAGCTCCTCTCGTTAATGGTAGTAATATATTTTCTGAATTACTAGATTTGCAAATGGAGGCCTAAATTTTGTTTAATAATTGAAATCAAGTGTTTTTGGTAGACATGGAAGCAAATATTCTTACAGCTATAATATATTAATTAATGCATTATTTTGGTTAGATTAGAGTATTTTTTTTTTCCTCTTTTTCTTTTTTAATCGTGAAGAATCTTCACATTTTTTTCTTTTCATGATTAAGGGTGTGTTTGCTTATCGCATTTTCCACTCCTTTGCTTGAACTGTGAAAAGAAAGAATATGCAGCTGAATAAATACATTTTTATTTGCTTATTTATATTAACAGCTTATTATAACTTGGTAGGACTGTATAAAAGACGATTCCTTGAAGCAATTGAAAGTAATTGCAATTTGTTAATGTCTCTGTTTTTCTCAGAAGGGCCTAAAGCAAGCAGTTTCTAGATGATTCTTTCTTCTTCTATTGGTCTTTGAGCACTTTGGAATGATCTTTTTGCAACAAAATACTCTCTGGTGGAATTCATTAAAAATTCAATAAAATATTCTCAATACCAAGCGTGCAACTTGAACTTGTGGGACCAAATTGGTCAAAACTTTCTCTCATCTCACGGAGGAGTTTGATCGAACCCAATAATTTCATTTCAAATCCTATTTAAATATGTTAAAAACACACTAAACTGATATAACTAATATCATTTGAACCCGTAAAATCAAATGAGCTAGTCTAGAAATTTCAAACTTGAAAATTTAAATCTCGGGTCCACTTGTACGGCCCTCGAAATGAGGGGTATAGTTTATGAGATTCTTGAAAATGTTGGTAATATTTTCACATTGCGTGAAAGACTCGCTTTGCTCAAAGGAATACTTGCACTACACTCACATCATCACAATTCATTACTCCAAAAAGACGAAATTAAAACTTTAAATCATAGTGTTACCATCACCTATTAGTTTATTACCTTCAATACTTTGTTTTTTTTGGGGCTAGAGGGACTTGGCCGCTTGTGTTTCAATAGGTAATTTGTGTGTATTCTGTCAAAAAACTTCTATCTCTAAGTAACGAGCAAACATATTCAAAGGAATTCCCTCGTGTCCTTTTACTTTGTTAATGATTTTAAGCAGAAGCACGAAATAGCGGTGACAGTAAAAACTCAATGTTGATATTATAACTTTACTTCAATCATAACCAAGTTAAGATCGATTAAATGTGAGATAGTGCGGGAAAAAAATATATTATTGATATTTTTAATTATGTTACAATGAACCCTATATATAAGTATATTACATAATGCATAATCTACTCCTATTACATACGGGATTAGGACTAATTATATATATTCACATAACTATCTAACACTCACCTCAAGCTGGTGCATATAAATTGTATGTATCTAGCTTGTTACATATGTAACTGATACGAGGACAAGTGAGAGACTTGGTGAAAATGTCTGCAAGCTGATTATTCGATTTCACAAACTTTGTAGCAATATTTCCCGAGAGTATCTTTTCTCCGACAAAGTGACAGTCAATCTCAATGTGTTTTGTTCTCTCATGAAACACTGGATTTGATGCAATATGAATAGCAGCTTCATTATCACACACAAGTTTCATCTAGCAAATCTCACCAAATTTCAACTCCTTGAGCAACTGTTTGATCCAAATTAGCTCACATGTTACCATTAGGGGTGTACAAATGAAACCAACAAATTGCATCAATCCGATAATTCGAGTCAAACCGAGAAAAAAAAATCCGACCATATTTGGTTTGGTTTCTTTTTAACTAAAAAAAGTCAAACCGAAACCAAATCAACCCGACATTATATGTATAGAAGTTTTAAATATATTTAATACATAAAAATATTTATGGTAGTGTAGTTTATAAATATTTTTTAAGTTTTTTCATAGTTTTATCTTTTAACGTATTATTTCAAGCTTGGGCTTATAATTTTTGGATGTTCCAATAAGTTTTATAGTCCATAAATGTTAGTAACTCAAATAAATCCTAAACCAAAATCAAATCAATACTAATGCTAATAAAAGACATTCAATTCAATTGTACAATGAATGAAAATAGTGTTGGATATCTAGTTTTTAGTTTTTCCATGGTTTAGATAAAATGTGTAACTTATTTTTCTTTTAGTGGTTAGTCATATAAATAATAATACTTATTAGTCATAATTTTAAATTATATTTATTTTCATTATGGCTTATTAATAATATTTATTTTATGTGATTTTATTATCTTTATTGTTGAATATTTTAGTACAATGCCATGACTCATCTCATATTTATGTTATTTTACTGAAAAATACCTTATATAGTTCTGTCTTACTAGGATTAAAGAAATATTTGGAGCACAAATTTTACGTTTTGTGCTATAAAGACTTTATGAAAAAACTCGAAAATCCGAAAAACCAGAGAAAATCCGAGATTAAAAAATTCAACTTTTATTGGTTTGGTTCGGTGTTTAGATTTAGTAACCCGATACAATTGGCTTGGTTTGGTTATTAGAAAATTCGAACCAACCCTACCCATCTACACCCTTAGTTGTCATAGTCATTGCTCGATATTCTGCTTCTGCACTAGACCGAGCAACCACATTCTATTTTTTGCTCGTCCAAGACATCAAATTACCTCCTACTAAGACATAATATTCAGACGTAGAACGTCTATCAGAAGGTTATCCTGCCCAATCAACATCTGAGTATCCAACGATCTGCTCATGGCCTCGATCTTCAAACAATAATCCTTTGTCTAGAGCTGATTTTATATACCAAATAATGCAAACAACTGTATCCCAATGACTATCATAAGGGAAATCCATAAACTAACTCGCAACACTCACAGAAAAGGAAATGTCAAGTATAAATCATTGTGAGATAATTTAATTTACCAACCAGTCGCGTATATCTTGCCGGATCGCTGATCGGTTCCCCCTGTCCTGGCAGTAGTTTAGAATTCAAATCCATCGGAGTGTCAACAGGTCTACAACCTGTCATTCATGTCTCCTCAAGAATGTCTAAAGCATACTTCCGTTGTGAGATCATAATACCTAAGCTAGACTGAGCGACCTTAATACCCAGAAAATACTTTAATTTGCCAGATCCTTAGTATGAAAGTGCGGAAAGATATGTTGCTTAAACTTAGTAATACCATCCTGATCATTGCCGGTAGTAACAATATCACCAACACAAACGACCAGATAAATACAAATATTTGAAGCAGAATGATTATAAAATACAGAGTGATCAGCTTCACTATGAGTTATGCCAAACTCCTCGATAAATGTGCTGAACTTACCAAACCAGGCTCTAGGAGACTGCTTTAGACCATAAAGTGACCAGCTCAAGCGACATATAAAGCCACTAGACTCCCTATGAGCAACAAAATCAGGTGGTTGTTCCATATAAACTCCATCCTCAAGGTCACCGTGAAGAAAAATACTCTTAATGTCCAATTTATAGAGAGGACAATGACGAACAACAACCATGGATAGGAAAAGGCATACTAATGCTAGTTTAGACACGGGAGAGAAAATATCATTGTAATCGAGCTCAAATATCTTAGTATATCCTTTGGCAACAAGACGGGCCTTAAGCCTATCAACCTGGCCATCCAGACAACCTTTGACTGCATACAACCAACGACAACCAATAGTAGATTTACCTAAAGGAAGAAGAACAAGCTCCCAAGTATCACTCGTATGTAAAGCAGATATCTAGTCAACTATAACATGTCACCATCCTGGATGAGACAGTGCTTCGCCTGTAGACTTGGGGGATAGAAACAGAGGACAAAAAAGATACAAAAGCATAATGGGGTGATAAAAGATGATAATACCCTAACATATTGGGGATTATGATTAAATGTGGTCTGTATACCTTTTTGAAGTGTAATCGGCTGACTAGGAGGAGACAAGTTCGTAGTAGGAGCAGGGTCAGGTGTAGGATGTGAATCAGCTGGGCCTGATGCTGGGCGCAGACGATGACGATAAGTCAAGAGTGGTGTTCATGTCGCTTGGGATCTAGGAGGAGCAACACTAGATTCCTCAACGGTTGGTATGGGTAAGACTTATATAGTTGACAGCGTAGGAGGAACTATAATTGATGGGGCTGGAGATAGAGTCGGGCCTATAGGTGATGGAGCCGTGGGGGGAGGTGAAAAGGGGAAATAGTGACTGAATCTCCAAAAGATAGAACTGCTAGCACCTTATAATGTCTAAGTGACCACCTAGGCCTGTGAAGTATGGCTGAGTTTCAAAGAAGGTAACATCACCAGACATAAGACACCGTTGGAGGTCAGGTGAGTAGCATCAATACCCCTTTTGCGTTCTCGAGTAACCTATAAATACACACTTAAGAGCACGGGGTTCTAACTTATCTTTTCCTGGAGTAAGGTTATGAACAAACATGTGCTCCCAAAGACACGAAGTGGAAGAGAGAACAAGGGCGGGTGAGAAAACAACACATATAATGGAACTTGACTCTGGATAGCTGAGGATGGCATGCAGTTAATAAGATAACAAGATGTGAGATCTGCATCCTCCCAAAAATGCAACGGAATATGAGATTGTATAAGTAGGGTACGAGCAGTCTTATTGAGATGCATATTCTTCCTTTCTGCTACCCCATTTTGTTGAGATGTGTATGGACAAGATGTTTGATGAATGATCCCATGATAGTTCATATACTGCTTAAATGGAAAAGACAAAATCTTGGGCATTATCACTACGAAATATGCAGATAGAAATCCCAAATTGATTTTGAATTTCAGCGTAGAAGGTCTGAAAAATAGAAAATAACTCAGATCGATTGTCATCAAGAATATCTAAGTGCACCTGTAATTATCAATGAAACTAACAAAGTAGCGGAATCCCAAGGTAGATGACCGAACGAGTATCAAGACGCCGAGGGAAATGAAAGTGAGTATGCTTACTAAGCTGACATGACCCAAATTCTAGTGTGGACAAGTGAGACAAACCAAGTACCATTTTCTGAAGTTTTGATAAACTGGGATGTCCAAACCGTTTATGTAATAAATCTGGTGAATCAGTAACAGAACAAGCTGTTGATGTGGGTTCATGTGATTTGACAAGAATAAGGTAATAAAGTCTGTTTGATTCACTCTTGGTATCAATGATCCGCCCCGTACTGTGTTCCTATATAAAAACAAGGCCATCAAGAAATAAAACAGAACATTTATGTGATTTGGCTAAGCGACTAACGACTATGAGATTAAAATGACTACCGAAAACATAAAGAACTGAATTCAAAGGTAAAGAAGGAAGTGGACTTTCTTGACCTATTCCAATTGCCACGGTTTGAGACTCATTGGCTATTGTGACCGTTGGAAGAGATTGAGAATAAGAAATAGTAGTGAAAGTAGATTTATTACCAGAAATATGATCAGACGCTCCTGGATCAATAACCCAATTACTGGCAGAAGATGATTGCGAGACACAAGTAACACTATTATCTGTTTGAATAGCAGTGGCAATCTCAGAAGATGTCTGTTTACATGTTTTGTACTGAAGGAACTCTATATATTCTGATAAAGAAACCATCTGGATTGGATTCAATACATTGGATCTAACAGATTGTGAGTCAAATACTTTTTATACGAACGACATATAATGTTCAAGCCGAAAAAATGAGAAAATTCTCTGGAAATTACTGTTCACATCGGAAAAATCGTTGTCCACGCCGGAAAAAAAATATAAAAGTGGTTGGAATTTGATTTAACTTGGATGGGTAGGCTCACAATTGCAAGGGGAACAAGTTGTCCTAAAGAGTAATCGCCAAAAAATAGCCGGAAGTAGCCCCACGCACCGGCGCGTGATGTCGGAACTTCGCCAGAAAGTTTTCTTCCGACAGTGCGTGAGGGCGCGTGGAGGGTGTTTTGCAGGAGATTTTTTATGGATTGGTCGCTGGAGGCTGATCTACTCCGCGGTGGTGTTAATTTTTACACAACATTGATGAATAGTGATTTTTTCTTGCGGCAAACCTTTGTTTGCCGGAAAAAGACTTCCGGTTGACTGATTTCTCTTCCCGGAGTCGCTGAAATTTATGCACAAAAATAAATCTCTCACGATTGCTCTGATACCATGTAAGAAAGCGCAAGAGAAAAATATATTATTAATAATATTTTTAACTACGTTACAATGAGCCCTATATATAAGTATACATAATATATAACCTACTCCTATTACATACGGGAGCAAGACTAATTATATATATTCACATAACTATCTAACATGGATTATTCTACATATCGCTTCATTTAAGCTCATCAGTTCACTATAATATAATATAAAATAAAATAAAAGGACTACAACTCATTGCAATAAGTGGAGTTAATGTATAATGTTATATTGTACTTTACATTGGTAGTACAAGAATATGATTTGTATCACCACTTGGTCGTAAATTAAATGGGCAAATTTTTCTGTATGATGTAAGGGATTTCCAGATCCATCTAACCACACACAGCAATCTTGCATGCTGAGCAATTAAATGTTACAGGCGCACACAGATGTATGACCAAGAAAGATCTTTGATCATTTTCAATACTTAACTTCAACAAGCTCTCCATAGCAGACTTAGTGATCACTGTTGCAACTTCATCAATCTCTCCTGGCATAAGGTTATTCAAATAATTTCATTACATAACAAAGCCATCACAAAAACTTCTGACTTCCCTGTTAGCTGTGTCAAGCAACCAATTCGTGTAGCCACCGATATACAGAAATTTTGTACTAAAGATACGTTTCACCCGCTTATTCTGTTTACCACAATGAATCAGACGTGCAAATCTGCATATCCAAGTGTACAGTTAATGAGAATATGAATGGCAAATGATGAATCACAGATACACAGAGCAAATCAACAGAGGAGGAGAGAATTACCTAAGACTAAAGGAACTAGACTGCAGGTGCTAAAGAAATCTTTATTTCAACATCTATCTTCTCTCTGGTATTCTATCTACTACTTTTTTCTTCTATTATGTATCAATTACTGTATAGAGAAAGCTCGGATCACTTCCACTACTGGTGCAAGACACATTGGACACTTCGCTTTTTCATGGACCAATTTTTCTGCACATTCTGAACATGTGCACATGTGGCCACACCTGCAATCAAGAAGCAAAATAAAAAAAGAAGATAAAGTCTTCTAAGACTAAACTAAAAAGAGAAGAGGTGTTCGACTGCCAAAAACAGCATAATTTAAACTTGAGGAATAGACGAAGGACAACGATGGTTCATAATTTCACTGCAAACAGTAAAGAGAGCTGTCCTTAAGACAGCTCAGAAAAGCATCATGTGCACTTAATAATTGAAAGAAGGACAAGGATGTTTCATATTTACCTGTACAATAATGAATCTATATTGTTATTACAACACAAGCAACATAATCCTTTTCTCACGTTATCCCATTTGGATTCATCGTTCAACAGAATATCCCCACAAACATCCACATCTGATAAACGGAAAAAGAAATCACCACAAGGAATAACAATTTCTGGGGGTCGGGGATGAGTTGTATAAGATGGATTATCTACAACTCGGGAAGAGAAGAAAAAATCACAAAACCCATATAGGCATGAAACCAAACCTGTTGAACCGGCGCATCTATTTAGGGCTGCAGAAACTTCTTGGCGAACCGACCGCTGCAGCTCAACTTGCATTTCCATGCATGTTTGAAGCATCCTTTGCATATCGTTCATCCTCTGGTGAAGTATAGCCATGTCAATCTTCAGTTCATTGATGATATCCCACTCCTGCAACAGATCAAACAGGTATGCATTTCATTGAAAGAACTATGATCATGTAAAACAAGAAAAGGATGCGACTGTTTTGAGTTTATTAAGGAAAACATGCTCATAGTGAGAAGTTACTATGTTTACAAAAAACTCAAAGTAGAACAAGGAAAGTGATGATTATCATATTTTTTGCATATGATGGAAACTCCAACATCAACACAAAGCAACTACGCTAATCAACTTCATATAGAACTTTCAAGTAGTTCACGGAAAACGGATGAGGCTTACTAATTCTCCCATGGGGTGATGTGGATTTTGGCGAGGCAAATTCTGATGCTCGGTTTCATGATTCCAATGTGACTGAGAAGGTGCCTCTTGAGGTGGAAGCATAGCAAAGGGATTTCCCTCCTGAGGCCCATCTCGAATAACATTCTCCTGCTGCTCGTGCTCTGCATCAGATGGGTATGAGGATGCTTCATCCATATCCCAGTCAAAAGAAGCATGACCTTGTCTTTCGACATAAGATTGTATTAGCTGGTTTAGACTCTGACGGAAACTGCTATTAAGCAGATTAGAGACACGCCTCCTAAAGCATGAACAAAGTTGTTAATCACGTGAAACTTCACTCAATGTTATCCAAAAAATGCAGAGTACTAAAAGATGGGGGACCTTACCTGCTTAGCAGTTCTCGGAGTTCAATACTATAAACATTGTCGTCATCCGGTGTATAAAATGTATCAACCCTTTCAATGGATCCATCATCCTGACCAGAAGGCGTGTCAAACCAGTCATCAATTGCCTCTTCGTGCCACTCATCATGTGGTTCTTGTGCATGGTTTTGTTCTTCAATATCACTTCCCAAATTTTCCGGATAAGATTGATTAGGAGCACCTTCTTGCGCATCTCCACCCATGTTTTCTGTGACATCATCTACCCATTCATTCTGATCAGCATAAAAAGGCCGCGACTCACTTTCCTCAAGTTCTGTTGCAAATTCTTCTGGCTCTTCCGCTTGCTGCAAATCATTTTCTTCAGGCTCTGCAATAATTTCCTCCACCTCCTCTTCTTGAGCTGATGAACCTTCCCAGTCATAATATTCAAAGATATTTCTCTCGAAATCACGAAAATGACCATCTACCACATCATGAGAATCACTTGGCTCACTTTGTGGTGCATCATTGTCATGGAAGGTTGCATGGTAATCTTGTACATGACCTCGCAGACTGCCTTCAATAGCCGCAGCTTCGGGCAACCATCCGTTACCAGCATTTTCCACCAAGTTTCTATTGCCATTATTTTGTATTTCAGGTAAACTACTAGAAAACTCCAAATTTGACGTGGCTTGCTCGTGATCCTCATCTCCTCCAGCTTGCTCAGAAGTTTCAGCTATTTGGTCAATGTTATATTGACGATTCACATGCTCACAAATTGTGCTTTCTGAGTTCGCTAACACACGAGACCCATTCATCTCTCTCTCTTCATTAATAAGTTCAGCTTGATCATAGCATTCGTCTATTACCTCTTGTTCACTATCTGATTGAGATGGTTGAGGGTCATCCTTTGCAGAGGACGGCTGCATATTACTTGTAGAACCACGCACATTATCATCCAATCTGGACAAAATTTCTTCCCTGTTTCAAACCATTTCATGTGTCAGGTACGACTGCTGGCGAGAAGAGATGACAGATACTATTTATGTGAACAAATGCACCTTTTGGCTGACAAAAGAGAACACTAAGATAATATTACCGCAGAGCAAGAGCAACTCAAAACATGCAAAAACATCCATCAGGTCAGGGGTTGATATGAGGCATTTCTAACAAAGAGAGTTGATGGGCTACATTTGTGAGAGCTAATGTTTTGCTCAAAAAAAAAGATCAAGGTAGAACCACTTTCCCTTTTGTTGATATGAGGCATTTGTACATGCTAAGTGATTTTGTTCGCACTCGCCTTTGAATAGGTCAGAGGTTCAATCACTTCTGAGCACTAATTTTAAAAAAAACTGAAGTCCAAAACATTAAGTAAAATACAGGTCGAAATTGAGACTCGAACTCCCGACTTAAGCAGTTAAGCTAGAGAGAAGAAGCGCTCAACCAGTGAGCTGAGACGTTTTATTTGTTAAGTGGTTCATTTTATTTTATGTAACTGCTTTCACATAATAATTACTCCTGTGGATTTAATAAAAAATTTCAACACAGCTTCCCCACCCCCCACCCCCCGCGCACGTTCCCCCACTGCCTCTCCAACCTGCTAGATAAGTGAGTTACTGCATCTGAAATAGCTCATTACTTTCGGGTGGAATAAAAACAAAAAATTTCTAGAGAACGACGCTTAAAATTTAGGTCCACTTTTACCTTAAATCAGACACAGTATGTCTTTGCCTCAGTAAGCCCAGCTCACTCGCTGCATTTGAAGCAGTTCTTTCACCATTTGTCAATCTTCCATTTTGCAGAAACCTTCCCCTGAGTAATGACTGCAAACACAAGGTTTTACTGCATTACGAGCAAGCACGAGGTCGCAAATAATCTAGAGTTGAAAGTCAGAGAAGCTGAATGGAAACAAGGACCTTACTCGTGCTTATTTCACGAAGACTAAGGATAAATATGTTGTATGCACATCAATCTCGTTATGCATGTTGATAAGCTACAGTCAACTAATCATAGTCATAGTTTATTATCAAACAAGTAATCGATAGATCAATTGCGCCTTAATCCCAAACAAAATTGGAATCGGCTATATGGATCCTATATCAACCATTCCGCTTAATCGGGGCCCAATCTCTTAAAAGTAATACTTAATAAGGTTTCATGAGGCAATGTTTAGTCAAACTAGAAATTAATATTGCAATTTTTTATTAATTCTACAATGTTAATTATTAGAGAGAAAACACTAATTTCATATTTTTAGTGATTCAGATATACCTTGATCGCAATGCAGCACTGTCACTTGCGACCAAGTAGAGAGACACATGGTGCCTGTATTTTAGCACACTTTTTAGTTAATCATATTTAATAATTACTACTTTTAAACACCCCCAAGGATATTAACCATTATAAAGTGAAGTATTTCATCTTATTGTGATCAACTTCAATCAAGTGGACTTGCACAGTATTAGAAAATTTTGTCAATCTCCTTGTTTTTGTTTAGCTCTCTAACTTTTTCTATTTGTTCTCTAGGACATGCGGGCAATTAGCATGTTAATCTTGAAGTTTTTCTGATGGCAATAGACTAGAACATCTCAATGCACATATTTCAATCACGTTTAACTTTGATGCCAAAAGTAAGGAGACTTCCGTTCCTCACATTCCATGTATGATATACAGTAGGAGACAGGATATCAGCAGTGAATAACATCTGGCATGACATAGAATATTGTGATATTCTGGGGAATAAGGAAAAAGGAAAGCATTTCTACTGAAGCCTAACCTGAATCCGATTGCGATAGGCAAAGTCTGATACAGGCTTACATTCCAACAGTCCCTGAAGTTCTTTTTCCCTTTCCCTCTGAGACCTCATCATTAAATCAATGAGAGCTTGTCTGCCACAGAGTCTTCTGCGCAAGGCCTTTCTCTCTCCATTTTGTGAATGATCGACCAACAAACCATCACGCACTTGTTCAGATTGAGAGCCGGTTTCAGCAGCAACTTCATCTCTAGGAGAACTTGTGCCACTCTGATGAATATTCGTTTGCACCCGCTCCCTTATGATTCTCACCCGTCTGCCTTCATTTTCCCCTAAACACTGTGCCTCAGAACAGTTGTTCACATGTGAGGCATTCAATGACTGTGAATGGCTCTTTCCACCAGCGTTCATCCACTCCTGAATAATCTGCCTAACTCTTTCGCGTTCAGCCTCCCCAAAATCACTATATTGATCAGAACTAACACTTCGGCCATCATCAAAGTAGTTGTCCAGCTCGATATGGCTTTGATATATACACCTTTGATTCTCGTCACAGTCAAAATTCTCAACATCACTCCTCTGTGGTATTTGCCTATCTCCAGTAGGGGCATAGGAATTACTCACCACGTGCTCACCCTCAAGCTCCCTCCACATTTGAAGAATAGATGAAGCCCGGGTTCTCGGCCTATCATGTTCACCCCGTTGCCTCGACACCGAGGACTGAGACTCTATAAATAAAGAAGAACCAAATGCAGAAATATTATGCAAGCCAGCAACAGCCATACTCAATCCCACGTTCAGTGCTTTCAATTCGCTACCATTGTAATAATCACCCGGATCTGGGAACTGGTAGATCTGTTCATGATGCATCAAGATTATATTAATTATGGCAAGAATTAATTACCCGCATCATCAAATAGTCATTTCCAACTTAAGTGATATATTTATAAAGCTAAAATGCACCAAAATCAGCAAAAATCATAAACCAGAAGGTAAACACACACACACAGAGCCCATGATTCTGTTGCATAGTCTGATATGCATCAGGATCCAATATAAGTATGTAGATTAATTAATAAGAAATAACCTAATATTTTACTTTAACCACAAATGAAACAAAAATTTATCCCCAAACCTCCCAACAAGTAATCCAAAGAAAACCTTTTCCTTTTTCTTCTTTTTTTGCTGAATGGACCTAAAAAAAAAAAGGAGAAAAAGCGATCTGACAGATCTTCTTTTGCTCTGACAAAAGGGGTAAAAGTAAAATTCAAATTTCAAATCTAAGAAGTACTACTTGCTTCAAAACAGCAAAAACATCCCACCCCACCTACTCCTTCCCTCTCTCCCCCCCCCCAACCCAACCCCAGAAAACAAGATTAAAAGATAAGAAAAATATGACTAAAAATATAAGCTTTACGAGCAAATTAATAAGATTTCCACAGCATTTATAAAATCCGTCATGGATTTACATAATAAAAGTCAAATGAACTCATCGGAATTCCAATACAACTGGAAACACTTGCAAATTAAGCTTCTACATATACACATACACAAACATGAACTGTATAAAGCATGTTTTGAACATAATATTAAACAATGCAATACCACAAAATATCAAAACCAGACAGAATATGATTCTTCATTATTGAAAATTCAAGAAGAAGGAAAATAAAAAAACTTACCTTTAGCCTTTAACAGCTCCTTTGAACTCAGTTGTTGACTTCAGACTCAAAGAATCAAAAAACCCACCAACCCAAAAACTACAAGGTTGCAATATGTTGTGTAATTTTCAGAGATAAAGAGGAAAAAGAGAGGAAAAGAACAGTTTTTGGTCCAAGAGAGAGAAATATATGAAGCTAAAAATGGAAGGAGAAATTTATTAGGAATTAGGAAAGAAATAATTGAAGGAAAGGGACACGTCACTCTTTAATTTTACCCCTGAACTTTCGCCGTAGCTCTAACGTCTATTTTCCTTTTTATATTTTGGGGTAATTGCACTTTTGGCCCTTCAACTTTTTTATTATTATATAAATCCATCTATTCAAATGTGATGGGAGATTAGAGGCAGAAGAGGATATATTAAGATTCAAAAAGTAAATACATAAAGAGGGATAAAATACGTTACCTCAATCAAACGTCATAAGGTGAACATACTCGCCCTAAGATTGCCAGTTATATAACCTATCTAACTTCATATGATTAAAATAGTAGATCATTTGTAAAAATTAGTTCTTGTAATAGTTGAATTAGTACGTATATTTAATTTTTAATTAATTAAAATGTAAATTTTTGATTACTATATATAGAAAATTTATGATATTTATAGTATTAGTTTATTCTCAAATATGAATAAAAACACGAATTTGACGTAATACATCAATAGTTTAGCGTTTGATAATTCACTAAATTTGTGAAGATTAACAAACAAATAGATTAAATGTCCACTTATCAATAAACGGAATGTTAAATGTGTATTAACCAAAAACTTCAAGGACAATTAGGAATTTATTAATATCTGAGGGACTAAGAGCACCAATATCCTTTTTCTAACTTTTTGTTCATAGGGGAAGGAATAGGAAATGGGTGCTTGCCACGTGGGTGACTATTATTTTCAGCGGGTGACATTAGCGGATTTTTTGCCCTTTTAACTTTTGCCTTTTACTAGCTTTTTCTTGAATTCAACGGTAAGGTGTGGCGCGGGTTTACAGTAATTTCCCAACGACGTCGTTCTCACTTCCTAATAACATTTTAGCTTATTTCTAGAAAATTCTAGTGTTTGCAACTGCTGTTGAGTCGTGTTGACTTGCCTGTCCGAAAAGATATTTCACTCATGAGAACTATTATTATTAATTTGGTAATTTAGCAACTTGGCAGTCGAATTATCAGATAAAGTTCTAGCATTAAATTAGGATATATATTATCATGTATTTATATAAAATGTTAACATTTAATTGTAGTTAAGTAAGAAAAAAAAATTTCTCACACTTAAAGTTTATATCAGTTCAATAGACACATGATAAGTGTGTTTACATAAAATTTTGTCATCTTGATCAATTATAGATAATTAATATGTATTGTCACCTCAATTTTATCATTAATAATGATAAAATAATAAGTTTGGTATTAACATTAGGTGTAGAAACGGTCTTTTCGCAGTGCAATTGTGAGTATCTTGTATTCATCACTATTCAAAAATTAAGGTTTAAGGGTGAAAATACAACTTTCCTCTAAAAATCAAACTCACTTTTAACTTTGAACAATAGTCAATCTCCCCCTTTTATCCTATGCAATATCGATTTTGCTCTTGATATTTTTAATTCTACACCGATGTAATACCTTTTTATATTATATAGAATAATATTTTATTTTGTAACTTATACATTTTACCTGTAGTTTAAATAAATTTCTATCTTAGTGTAGATTTAATTAAGTTTATTAACATTATAAGTAAAATAATCTTTCTATAATTTTATTACAAAATCTAATGCTATTTTTATGATTGTTATTTAAATATTACGTGCATTATGTATGTATTTATGTATGTGTGTAAGAGTGTGTGTATGTGTATGTATGTATGTGTGTGTTTATGCATATATTTAAGTTTCGCTCTCTTATTCTCTATCATCTACATAGATAAATGAGTTTTGATCGTCATTAATGAAATAAATTTTAAATTATAATTTATAATGCTTTAGCAATATAAATAGATAATCTTTTAGAATTCTGTTATAAAATTCATCTCTATTTTTATTTCATTAATGACGATCAAAATTCATTTATCTATATAGAATTCTATTATAAATTTATCTCTATTTTTATTAATTATTTTTGTATTACTTACATTCAAATATGTTTATAAAGTTTTTACTCCCTTTATTGTCACTTTATAAATATATATTAGAGCTTTGATTGCTATATATAAAATTAAATTATTTTTATTCTGCTCATTTATTTCACTATAGAATATATTACTTAAATTACTATTTCTCACTCTTCTTTTTTCATCTCAGAAATAATTTTTCTTCTTTCTACATGTACTTTTGTTACATAAATTTTAATTACCGAAATGAAAATATCATGATTTTTAAAAAGTAAAATAAAAAAATAAAATAAAAAAGAGACAAAGGTTGATATGTAAGGGTAAATAGGTATATTTTAAAAAGTCAATCAACATAAAAAGGGGAGAAGGACTATTATTCAATATTTAGGGGGGAGTTTGATTTTTAAAGCAATGTTGAAGGGTGAAAATGTAAATGATTTTCACCCGTTTCATGTATGATAAAATTATTGAGAATCAGGTTGTGTAAACCCCATGGATTAAGACCTAACTTTAATTTGAAATTTACTTAAAATATGTTTTGAAATTGTTCCTTCCTAGCACTATACCTTTTAAAAGACATATACAACATGTTCCTTTTCCTTATAATTATGCTGAAATGCAGGCTTTAATTTCCGGACTCTTTCTCTAGGAATTTTCATAGTTACTTAAGAATTTATAAAATATTTCATAATCTACAATTTGTATAATAATTACAAATTCTACAATAACATATAAAAGATACACTCTAAAATATGATAGATTCCCTATTAATGAGGAATCCTATTTTGAAACGTATCTTTATTTGTCCCTAAAACTTCTTCAATTTATTAATATTGATTACCTCTATAAGCACCCACTTGCTTTAATTATCCGTGTATTATGCATCAATCAACCCATATCACCTTGTATTATGCATCAATCATATCATATCCTTACTAAAAAATATATGCCTTTGTTAGTTTTAAAACTTTTTACGAAATTATTTTTTTCTATTATAACTCCTATGCTATATACCATCCAAAACTCTCAAAGGATTCCCCAAATTTGATTCTTCTTCACCTCTCTGTCAATGCAAAACCATGTACCTCCAATTTCTTTTATAATATAATATTATATATTTTTTAAATATATACATGATATATATTATACTCTATGTAGTATATTTATTAATGATATTTTTTTTTCCAGTTCAGTGTTTGTATATTATATATTAAATATATACCATATATTATATATATTTTATATATTATATAATATATTATTGTATATTTTAATTAGATAACATACATTTTGTACAAAAAAATATACAATATACAATATATTAATGGAGAAATTAGGGGGAAATTAATATGATAGATATTTTTAGATGAGAGAGAATCTTAAGAAAGATATATTAGGATACATTTTAGGTGAGGTAATCTCAAGAGAGATATATTAGGAATATGAAAAGTTATAAATTTTAAAATAAGTTGTATCATATGTAATTTTATCAAAACAGCTGTAAAAAATTTAAATAAATATTAGAAATATTGTATTCTATGTAAATTCCTCTTATATAATACTGTCACATGAGCTTAGAATTGAAATTTGAGGCTGCTCATTAAATGCAGTCACAAGTCCTACAGCCTAAACGACATGGTTCAAAGGATAAATGTTAAAAACATCCATATTAGGATAAGTATAATGCGACTATACCAACTGCTGATAAAGGAAATTAAGACAGTATTCCATGTTTCCCACAGCAATTCGGCTTCTATACACTCCAAAGTAGAAATTGTGTAGTGAGATAAGTAACGTATATATATTCAATAATCATTTGTCAACATCGTTCTTAAATCAGAGCAAAAAAGAAAGAATTATAATATCGTCTAAATAAGTAATAAGAAATCGAGTTTTGCCAATTAAAGTAGACAATTAGCTCAATAAACTTGAACTTACTAGTAGCATAAGTGAGAAGGAATGAAAGGGCCATCTCTTGTAGATGTTAATGCTAAATTTCAATATCTTTAGGCCATTTTCTTGCAATAGTACAACTTTCATAGTTGAGAATTGGGATTAAATTAAATAAATTGCAAAGTACTTTAATGAAACAAGAAAACTCATGAACTTACATTTCCACAAATTTCAAGAGTTTTCACTAATGAAGTGGCTCCCATTGACCCATTGTTAATTACTTCCTACAAAGTCGGCTGCTTTTTAATAATTTTAGTTATCATATGTCATCATCATTCAGAATTTAATTACTAAATTCTCTTCTTTAAGATAAAACTTAATTAAGAATGGTCCAAATCATAATTAAAGCCACACAATGCAAGCACTTGATTTATATGGAGTATGGAGGTGTAAGAAGTAGAGAATGGGACAATGCTAATTATGGGTTATTAGTGACTTAACATCTGAAAACTTGTTCATTACCATTTACGATATTATATTAACATAATGTTGACCCCATTTGTTACTTCAGTACAGCACTTATTTGCATTTCCAATCATCAAATCATTATAGCACTTTTTAAATAATGTTTGAAACTCAAGAGAGTTGTGTGGGCTTTTTGTCGTTTCAAAGCAAAACAATTTGCGTATCTAATGGAAAATGTTAAAAGGAGTACTGAAAATGTACGTAGAGACATTTTCAGCATGAATAAGTGGAAATGTCTCCATTTTTAGTACAATTTTGTGGCTTGAGAATATCCTTTACTGCTTGTTTGGGCATGACATTTATTAAGATGCAGCTAATCTTTTATTGGATCTATCATGGTGGATTAGTTGAAAGTTTACAGCTTAAACACTGAGGAGTCATTAGATTCACACAATAATTATGCTGAGTTTAAATGTAAAGATTGTTTCGCAGTAATAATAATAATAATATAGGATTCATGCACGTAGGGACTACTAATGTATGAATTAATAATGCACAGTAGTTATGAAAACATTATCTATTTTAAGGGTTTTGTTATGTGTCTTTAATATGGACACTCTTAAGTATTTAGGTATGTTTAACACGCTTCTAGTTTCACGTTCTATCTCGCAAAGATGTGCTACTGTATAATTAACTATGAT